TCTGGGAAATGTTTACAACAGACCGAAATTTTGCATTAGAGACCTCATCAAGTATGTATATTCTTAATCAGTGTAAATAAGCTAATACGTATGTGTATGTGCGCCTCTCTAACGTTCATCTGTGTTTATTGAATTTACGCTCAATACTCTGTCAAAATGACAGCTGCCAAATCTCATTAATTAAATTAAAGGTTAATTGATCTTTGCTTTGATTAGCATCAAAGTAAGCGTAACACTGATAACTGAAAAAGTTAATTTATAATTTTTTTTTGTTTCTATCAGTCTCGCCACTTGAGATTAAGGAAGAAGCAAAGTTGGCCAATGGGACGACCCGACGAATTAATTTTAAATTAAATCCGGCTCTTATACATTACCACCAATCAACCTCTCTTAACAAGCCTCTGTAAAGTACTTAAGATCGAAATATGATTAGATTAGGGAGGCGTCCTCCGTCCAAATTACGGAACGTAAGGTACTTATGTGAACACTTCATAAATCGATATCTTTTTCGGAACACTTTTCACCAAATTTCTGATTCCTTAAGCCACACTACAATCTCAAATTTGACTATTTGTCTGACATAACAAATTTCAAAAATTTTGGTAAAACATAATTTCGAAAAGCAAAATTCGGTTTTAATTAGCTTGTTCGAAAGGTACTTTTGTATAGGTCCATTAAATGAAACGAACGAAAAAAATATCATATATTTCCTAATATGAACGCAGTAGGTTGCCAAATCCAACCATATGTTTATCCTAACTAGTTAACAGACCTTACAGAGATCCATTAACGGAATTACATTCGAACTTATCTTCATACTCTTTATTTTCTTGGCAAAATCCTAAGAATCAGTTAAATTGGGTCAAAAGTTTGTGGAAATTAATTAACAAGAGTGAATGAAATGTCGCCCTGTGTAACAATCAATTACCGCGCAGGAGCTGTTAGTAAATATCAAAATATCCAATCCAAACCTAATGTAATTTCTTTCTTGTTAGATGTTACAAGCGAAATGATAAAATTAGCATAACTAACATCTTCGAAAGGTGAAGTAATAATATAAATATAATAATAATGAATTTAAAATTTTATCACGTTTTTCTACTTATTTTTGCTTCGTCTTACTTTCTACTTTACGCGTTTCTTTATACCCACCATTGAAGGATGGTGGGTGGGTTGTGTATACTCATTTTGTCAATAATGTTTGCAACACCCCCAAAAAGGAAGCCTCAGAGACTTCACAAATAGTATATATATATATTACAATCTTGATCAGCATGAAATTTTGAATTGATTAAGATATGTCAGTGTGTCTATGTGTCTGTGTGATTAAATAAAATATCGTCGTCAAGTCTATTAGAAATATTGAAAGTTGATATTGAAAACGAGCCAAATTGATCAAAGCGCAAACTGAACACAACTTCGTTCCTCTAAGCATTTTACCAACTACTCGCACATTATGAAAGATGGAAGGCAAAAAATTCACCCCATTTACTTTGCGAAAAACTTGAAAAAAATCAGCGATGCCCACACAAAGTTGGAAGTGATAAAATTTTCGTTTTTTTGAATTTTTTCAGGCTTTGCCTTGATTCATCTCTTAAGTTAAATAAGACAGAATGTTTAAAATTATTTGTTAACTGAAGATATTTTATTTGAATTCATATTTTCTGAATAAAAGTGGCCGTTAATTCTTATGGCTAATTATGGTGGACATCAGGACGTGGTCGAATAATTTTTTCACCATAATACCATTAATATGGGTATCAAATAAAAGGATTTGAAGACTAGAAAGCGACAAAGGAAGTCCGTTATCTTTAAATTAGTTATGGTGGACGTCACGACGTGGTAGAATAACTTAAGTGAAATAAATGGTGAAAGATAAATTTTACCCCATTCACATTTTTATGATAATATGTAAAAAAATGAGTCGCCAACATTTTTAATGGCGATGGGTATGCGGGGTTCGGCCCAAGCCGAATATAAGTTTTTCATTTTTTTTTTTTTTTTTTTTTTTTTACTAATAAATGTGAACGGAACAAATTGGAATAGATCGTCATTCTAGAAAGACTCTTAAATATTTGCTGGAATCAAAGTCTGTCTTATCTGAAATTAATTTATTGTATGCATAAGGCATGAGTAGAAGAAGAAGATGAATGTATGAGCCATTTGTGTTGAAATTGGCTTAAATCCATAGCTTGTGCAAAAAATCGAATTTTTTTGGTTTTTTTTCTTTTTTTTCTATTTAGATATATTGTCGATTCGCATTTGTAATGTAAAAATTATCGATTTTGAAACTCCACTACACTCACACATTGCGAAGAAATATATGCAGGTGCTAGTTGCAAAATAATGGCGACGAACGAAAAGAATTTGAAGTGTATACAGGCTAGAATCTTCGATACGTATATATATGTATGTTAGTTTGTCGCAAGCACAATGGCGATGTCAGTGCACCCTCATTGCCTTATGATAGACTTAAGAAAAAAAAAAAAAAAAACCAAAACAAATTATATAAATAAATGAAATGAAAAAATGAAGGGACAACTTGTGCTCTCAAGTTGTTTGTTAATTCATTACTGCAAACATCGGAGTAATCACTAAAAAATTAGCAGCGAAGATTAATGTAATGCAAATAACAGAGAAAATAAAAATTCGCAATGGAAAATGAAAAAAACGATTTTCTTGAAAAGAAGCTCATTGCGTTCGACTTGGAACAAATCTTTCCGCACTCATCAGCTATTTAACTATAATCATTAAAACATGTATTATTTTTATATATGCGACTTGTGGGGAAAACGCTAAAGTTACTATCGCCGGCTTTAATGTTATAAGATTCCAACTTAATCACATTTATGCCACAATAGTGTTTGATTTTTTACGTATATAATACTCGGTCTATCCTCGTTCGCCTCGTTTCAGTCTTCTACCTCTCATTTAATTTGGACTATCGCATAGCCTAGGTAGTAGATAGGGAACCGGGACTATCAAATCGACCTGCCGAGATTCTATTCGCAATGTGTTAGCTGACATTTAATAGCGATTGATGTGTGCAGCTGCAACTATGGTGAACAACTATAGCTGGATCGGTAAAAGGATTCAAACATATATACCTTCCCTTTACATAACACTCATCTCAATAAGTCAACTAAAAGCAAATGTTTTTGCACAATTTTGGCTTATACAAGCCAACCGCTAACTAGGTTAATGAACGAAACATGACTGAAACATTGGGAAAGGTTTCTAATCGTATCTTACGATATTACAAATGATATAATAAATTTAATTTACCGCTACGCTTCAACATGCGTAGTAAGTGTAATAATTTTAAAGCAATATAGAGAACATATTTAGATAATAAATTTCAACAAGCAACCTAATTAAAATGACCATATGTGCTCCAAATACTTCTTGTAAAAGCGAATGAATTTAGCAAGAGATAAATGAAAATAATCAGGAACAAAAACTATCATAAATCATTTCATTTAGTAAAACCGGATTCGTTTAAGCAAATAACTAACCAACTGCTGGTGATAAATTATTAAAAGTATAACTTGAAAATCTATCTTTAACAATCGTGTAAAAAGAATAATTAACAAATCTTAAGCAATTTCCGTTTGTTCAAATATCAATTAACAGTTTCCCGCCATTCCTTATATATCATAGATAAAATTGCATTCTTTCTGTCAACCATTATTAAGAAAAGTTGACCATACCTTCTAAACTTGCGCAATTGCCTGATAAAAATAGATATTATACCTAACAAAGTAGTATCGAATTTAATGCAACGATTGTAGCTTGCATGAATTCTGGGCACTGACTCACAATACTTCGGCATGTATGTACTTGGGAAAATTCCGTTTTTCAAACATTTGCAATACGGTTTGCAGACATCTAGTATAGTATAGTAGATTTTTAAACAGCGTTTAATATGTGAATGGATTGCAACATGTCCGTCCATCGGTCCAGAACACCCCATTCTCTCCTTGTGCTCACAATTCAAATAAGAAGTTGAACTTGACGACGTACTTTCAAGTCTTAAATCTTTCAATTTTACATTATAAGTTTCTTAAACTGATAAACTATAACAGATGCTGTTCTAAAATGTAACATCCAAACAGTTAACAATTTACAATATTTAAGGTTCCCACCACTGAACATTAAAAACTTTCTTTCCCTTTCATTGAATGCTATTTTTTTTTTTTTTTTTTTTTTTTTTAAGTAAGATGAAGATTAACGCAAGTATGTAATCATTACACGAAACAAAGAACATAACATAAGTTATATTCATCTTGAAGCGATTTTTACATACATACACAACGCTCTGGACTAATATAGGTAAATTGCCGAAATGTGAATCATGTGAAGGTGGCATTGCGAAGAAGTGAATATAAAAATATCTTGCAGAAAGAAACAAAACGAGTTCGCTAAAATCCGATTACAATAAATAATGCGAGCAACTAGTACAACTTATTAGATTATAACATCAATTAAGAACCATATGAATCTAATTTGTTGGGAACCTTTTCCTTATAAGAGTAGATATAAATAATTAGCAGAAAGACTAAATTTTTTGGTCCACAGCGTCAACACAATTTAAAAATTACGATGTATTTTTTAGATCCTATCCTATATAGGGATTCTCATGAAAAGTCAGCTCGTAAATAGCGAGACAAAGGGAAATTTGAAGTTTCTTACGCCCAAAACAAGAGTAAAATGCATAAAGAATTTTTTATGTATCGTCACAATAATAAATAAACACGCGTTATAAGCGGGAAAGCGTAGGGTGTTGAATAACCACCCTAAGCTGACTATAACGTTTCTACTTGTCTTAATGCATTTTGTCAAAGTAAAAGCAAAATTTTTTTTGCTGCAAAGATATTTTTTTTTTTTTTGTAATTGTGACAAATTTTCAAGAAATTTTCATTATATTATCGGTACATTTTAAGGAACGACTTCCTTTTTTGTAATTTCAAAAATTGAAAAAACCCTCGACTTTCGTGATGATGAATAAGCTGACGTATCCTTTCGAATCAAAATCCTCGCTTAGTGATGATCTGAAAATTGAAAGAAAAAAAGCTTCAACGTCTTTGGCTGTGAAATGGGCTCACACCGTAAACTCTCAACACTTGCTCGATGAGGCTTTAAATGGTGATTTTAATGTGGTCGAACCTGATATAACTCTTGGTAAAATATTAAAAGATGGCTCAGTTCTGTCTAAAGTCGCCCATCCTCGGCTTATAAGCTCTGATTTAAGCTTAGGTTCTTTTCTTGTACAAGTGAAACTATTTAATCTTGATGATCCTGACAAAATTAAATGCATCAAATTGGATTTCAAATCGATAGAAGCGTTTGATGCAGCTCTTGATAGATTAAAGCGCACGATACCGAAGATGAATCATCCTATTTGGTTGAGTGCCGATATTGCTGAGTGTCCTGTTAATGATTCTCATATTCCATCTATAGAGGCAAAACGCTTTCCGACTAGCTGTCAGAAAGCACAATTTAAACAGGCTGTTCTTTCGCTCGGCTGGACTACCCAATGGAGTGAAGATCCTATCGAAGGAGGCTCTTATACCTCTAAGCATATCGCAGCTACGCTTACTCTTATGAAAGAAAACAATATCGTCGATGCCGGACATTGCATTACGTTTCCATTGCGGGCTGGCGTAGCTGCCAATAGCGAGTCGGTCTTGCATGACCTTATTCGATCCGCTGAAGCAACAAATGACTGTACCATTACCATATGGTCCGCTCCGTTTGATTACGTTAGCTTTAAAAAATTGAGACAATTGATTTTACTTTGCGGCACAACGAAGATCTATCTTGATGTTCCCACTGATCAATCGAACTTATCAGCTCTACGTTTGATCGCAAACTTGTTGCGTTCGTTTACTAAACGCTCTCCACTGTACTTTAGTGTAGGTAGTCTAGTTATGTTTTTAATTAGTTTATTATTAAAAAAATCCAATTTCTGAAATATGTTGTGTTTTATAATGCGAAAAAAACAAAAAAAAAAAAAACTTTTTCCAAGATAAAAAAAAAAAAAAAACATACTTTCAAAAACAGATCCTGCGTCTTTTTCATTACTAAATCATAAGCTATATAAATGATTTAACGCTAACGCAGAATCTGATCGATCATAGGAAAGAATAGCTTTTGCTTATCCTGCTACCAACAAGATAAATTTTCTTTTTTCATAAATTTATTTTAATTGATGTTTTCAACTAACGAGGTGTGAGAAAAAAGGTTAGGCCATTACTGTACTCACATAGATACCTAAGTCTCTCTAACACTCTCTAAGGACATATTAAAAAAGTTTTTTAGAATTAAGATATTGATGAAATTGTGAGCATGTAATTAGATAAATCTGATTCGATCTACCCAACCCAATCCAATCCAATGCTTAGTACAACATTTTAAAATATCAAGCAAAATTTCAAAACATAAATAGTAAGACCTTTCAGATTATCTTCTCATTAATAAAACATATCTGACACAACATCAGATGCGACAATCAACTTCCAGATGCTACAACTACGCATGCTACAGAAACCCTTAACTTTAATTGCAAACTTAAATGACTTGACAACAGCCTTGACGCCATTTGGGTGTTTGCTAATCGAAAACTCAGACTCGGTGTAGAGACGGAAGTTCTCTTATATCCCTCATGACGCGTTCTACGTGCTTGCGTTGACCTGATGAGTGAAATTACCTATAGGCCATATAATATAACAGAACTTTCCCGCCAAATTATTATTTTCACTATATTAATGTTTACACGATCATCAGCTGTTAGTATGCAGCCAACTTTAACTCCAACATTTTTCATGGCATTGACAATTGGCTATGGTTTTACATGATTCTAGCTTTAAATAATTTATTCCGTACTAATATGCAATACGATCTAAATCATTATCGGTCCGTTGAGATACATCCTCTGTCAGTCTAGGCGCCTACGAGAAGTACATTCTCCTACATTTAGCATCTTCCGGAGAAACAGATGTAGTGCCTTTTAACGCCGGTGTTATAATAACTAATTTCCAAGAGCCAAGAAATATGCAAGCTGTAACAATATGATTTAGAAAGCTTGGGTAAACGGTAAGCTGTGATGTTCACATTATCGTGACGAACAACATACACTTGATAGCTTATCACGCTTCTTACATGGTGAAGTTTCTGAAGTGAAAATTCTCATTGTGTCTGCATAATTTTTTCAGTCATTTTACTTTGAAGCTATGCTTCCCAAATAACAACGCTAATGCTGTTAAAGAGATGATACAAAATATCGTCAAAGGTAGAATGCGAACGAACATTCCATGCAAAAATATTTCGATTAAGTCCAAAGATAAATGGCGATTTAATCGTACTTGCAAAGAAGCAGTCAGGTTTGGAGAGGGAGCATTTAAAGATTAGCATCTTAACCCAAACGACCAAGCTAATCGAGGTACTGCATCGCAAAAAAACTTTGCACAAGCAGCCCTTGCGTACCAAAGTTCTTGCCGTTCCAAAAAGTAGAACAGCTTTCGGTCTTTCGTGAACAGGATTTGGAAAACAATCTCCCGCATCGATTCTGATTTTTCCCCATAGTGAGCAAGCAAATATGATCCGACCCGGTTCATAGAACTAATGCGTTGGCTGAAGTGTTTACTTCAAACTCCAACTAATCACATAGCAATCGCCACCTCCGAAGAACGAGAGCCATTAAAAACGTTCTTGCCGATCGCACCACTTGCAAAGCTCCAGGTCCAGATGGCATTCCAGCCACAGTTCCAAAAAAAAGTGTACCAAAGCACTTGCCATTGCGCAATCTTTTCAGCAAGCGCTACCATGCTGACGTTTTTCGAACTTGCTGGACGTTTGCGCATATCCAACCTATACCCAAGAAGGGTGACGCGACAAATCTTGCAAACTGTGACCCAATTGCAGTCTATTTCGCTATAAACACAACTATGCAGACCATGATCAACTACCATTTAACGAGATGTCTGAAATCCTACGATCTAATTAGCGACAGACAATATGTTCGCAAAAATCAGTGCACTTGTGACGTAATGTGCTTACCGAAAAACGGAACGGAACTATTCGCCAATTCGGCAAAGATATCACCAAACCGATTGCACATGGTGTAGAATCCATTTTCGGTCGATTCATATCGAACTTTTCATGAAAACCGTGCGATAAGAGTTGTACTGGATGGGAATACTTCAAATGAATTCTATTTAAGTGCAAGTGTACCACAAGGTTCTGTTCTTTCACCTTCTCTCTTCCTAGCGTTCTTTAACAACTTCCTGTGCATAACGGAGATCCCCAACTTGTGTGTAGTTCGTTTTCCTCCAGTAAGACGGGCCTCATAAAGCGTCTGACTGCGTGGACTTGGATAAATAAAGTAGCATTTAGCATTTAGTAATTCATAGCATTGCAGGCGTTTTTATTACTTGCAATAATAGCTTGATATTAAATTTTATTACGAACTCGAGCTTCAATGTCCGTAAACATATTAAAAACGACTATGAATTTATCTAAAAGAGGTAAGACGTGTGAAGACTATAAAGAACTGGAAAATGTCATTAGTTAAATCAAAGGTTAATTGATCTTTGCTGTGATTAGCATCAAAGTAAAAGTAACACTGATAAATGAAAAAGTTAATTTATAATTTTTTTTTTTAAATTATCAAGTAAAATTTAATTTTATTATTATTATAAACTTAGCCAGAGAATAAATTCGAAGACTTCGAAATCTAAGACTTTCGGCTTTATTAAAAACTCTACCGCACTTGAGATTTGAACCCACGACCATTGAGTTGCTAGTCGAGATTCTTACCTACTCGGCCACTCAGACGGATAAAATTTAATTTTAATTCATAAGCTTGCGATAACAGTAGTCAAAGAAATTGAAGTACAATTGAAATATTTCTCACATTCTCACTTACAATGTTTACAAAGCACAAAATTTTTTAAATGTATTTGTTATTTTAGATATAATTCATAGACTCAGTCAGTCAGTCATTTAAATATGATTAAATAGAGCAAGACCTACTCGACGAATTCTAGATAATAAAAGTTCCCCCAACTTTGTTAAAATATTAATTTCTTTAATGCTGCACAGCATTAGGACAATAGGTATACATGTGACAACAGGTGGACAGTAGCTATTCGTGGACAACATAGAATAATACAATAAAATATATGAAAAATGCGAGATTACATCTGCCGTTAGTGGTAGTTGAAAAAAGAAAAACAAGCCCTTCTCGTTCATTATTCGGATACGTATATTCATTAATTTATTTGGCATTTGTTAAATTTTCTTCCTCTTACACTTGAAGAATAATTTTTTTTTTTTCAATTTTCTTATTTCTAATAGTTACATATATGCATTATTGTTATTATGAAAATGTAATAATTCCTACGTAGTAAACTGTATTACATTACATGTGAACGTATATCAAATGCTTATATACTTATGTGTAATGGTATGCAAATACTCTCATGTGAATTTTGTCAATTAATAAAATTGTACGAGCAGAAAATGAAAACAGCAAACAAAACTCAATAATTTTCTTAACAAAACACAGCTGTCATAAATGTATATATTCTCCGTATTTATACTATCTATATATGCATTTACTTATTTCAATTTTATTTTCTGCGTTGTGGCTGTTTGCTCCATTAAGTTAGTGATCCGTATATAATTACAAAAGCAACAACAAATCAGTAAACATATACACAGTGTGAGATATTCTCCCCCTCAAGAGTTAAAACGCTCACCTTTAACTAAACAGTAAGACAGCAGCATATATTTATATATATAAAAGATAATAAAAGCACAATAAAGACTCCTTAAGTTTTTGCTTATATATAAAGTTTCTCTTTCTCTGGTTTTTTTTTTTTTTTTCTCTATGAGACTCTTCCGACTAATGTGTTTATTTTTTAATTATACATTTATTAAGAGCTCTCTTTCTCACTCTCTCTCTCTCTCTCTCTCTCTCTCTCTCTCTCTCTCTCGCTTTCTCTCTGTCTCACTCACTAAATATTAATAACATTTATTTAGATTTCACGCACATGCACACGCTCGCACTGAGTAACTAACGATTGACTATACAGAGAGTAATTCATATAAATTATAAGAAAGAGAAATATACGAATTATTTTATTATAATAAATAAAAAAAGACTTCTTGTTGTGCCTGTGTGTATACGTTTTTAATATGATTTATTTAAGTTAAAAGGCACTTGTTAATGATTTTGTTAAAACATTTAATTATTTATACCGTAAATAATAATTTTGGCACATTTTTCTTCTCTCATCATTATTATTAGTAATTTTATTATTCTTTTTACATTACATTATTCTTGCGCGAAAATCTTTTTAATCTCTTGTTTGACTTATTTATCATAATTATTTTGATTTTTCTTATTTTTTTTTTGTTTTTTTTTTTATTAAATTTTAACACGCTCACAAAGAAAATGAAAAATTTAATTCTCTATTTAATAAAATTACCCGTCAATATCAATAGTATCATGGTCGGTGTTTAACTGTTTCAACATTGTGCAAATAACCGCTGAAAACCACATATACACATGTGCGAAACGATCTCTGTACGTATAATATACAAATGCATACGCACATGATAACTCTGATCATATATTTTCTTAATACTAAAGAGTTTTAATTGCAAGAGAAGGTAGAGAGCGAAAAAAGCTCCTTTTCTTTTCTTTTTTATTTTTATTTTTTTTTTTTTACTTTTACAACACTTTAATAACAATAGTTTTGAGAATTACATCAGCTGGCTTGCTTTCTTTTCTTCTTTCAAAACGCTGAAATTTCCTAACTTTATCTACCCCATGCCTATATCAACTAATTAAAAAATTTATCATACTATAATACTCTTCTTCTTTTTTTCTTTTTTTTTTACACATTATTATCACCTACTAAATAAAAATTATAAACCATTAAACCATTGAACACTGTATGCTTAT